CCCTAAATCCGGAATCCTAGACCCTGCATCATGCCACGATTCATCTGCTGACCACATGTGGAACTTCGAGTAAGGCTCCTGAGCGGCGAAGAATCTTCGAGTTTGCAGGCACTTCTCCTAGACATGATGTAAGAGACCAGCTGCACAACAGTGCTGAGGGATTGCCAACCCTGCGGCTCGCCCAAGTAGCACTGAAAGATGTCCCTAGGTAATTTACGACTCTATAACAGCTACGCAGCAGCATCACTATCCAAACAGTATGTCCACCACGACTAGTACCTAAACCCCAAAGGTATGTAAAATAATGGCCCTAAACCCCTAATAATAGCCATAAAGGCCATTATTTCACATACTTTTGGGGTCCAGGTAATTACTCCAGCAGTCATAGGCTCAATCTTCTGCGTGCCGGGGCAGGGCTGCCCAGCGTCAGCAGCATTGAGAATCTCTGCCTGGAAAGGCTTGGTGCGTAGAGTTCACAATTCATGGGGGGGATTGTCAAAATTATGGTCCCTTTTTGGGTACCCTAAACTAGGCCCCATTTTAGGCCCCGTATTATAATAGGGACCCAAAAAGGGACCATAATTTTGACAATCCCCCAATGGGATTTTGCTGATTTTTCCTTTCTTGGGAGATATGCTCTGCTTTTGCTAGCTCAAGACGTGTATCCAATTCAACTCCCGAGGATCCGCGACATGGGGCCTCTTCGGGATAGCTAATACTATCAAATGTTCTGTCGTCTTGTCCGAAATCTGCAAGCTGAAAGCTTGGCAGTGCCAAGGACCGTTTGCTCTGTTACTATGTACTCGAGAAACCCTCGGCATCGCAGCATAGCACAGGAACTACTTAACGACCAAGGTCATCGTGATCCTTCGTGATGGTGATGATGATGATAATCATCATCATCATCATCATCCTTTTTTCATGATTATGCCAGGCTGCCTTGCATAATGGCAGATGCATCGGGCATCAAGGCCCAAAGAGAGACAGCTCTTGTCCCTTCTCTATGGTGTAGTTCTTGGAGTGTAGAGCAACGCTGAATTTAGGTACTAAGTTCAAGACCTGCACTCTCAGTCCCCAAGGCCCCAAACAACAAGCCTTAACCTCAAAAACCCCAAATAGTAGTTTCCATGTTCTTTTCCATTATCCCTATGTAGAACGGCTATCTAACCCCTATAATATAACCCATTATAACCGCAATATAATCCCAATATAACTTCAATATAGCCCCTATAGCCTTTTATAACCCCTCTATAACCCGTCATAACCCCAACATAAAACCCAAAATATCCATAAATATCCCCTATCTAACCCCATTTCAAACCCAGGGCCTTGGTTTTTTTCAGCTGCTGCGCCGCGAGGATGGCTGAACAGGTGTTTTTGACGCTGCCTTCTTTGGCATGATATAGGGGTTTCCCAAATTTAGGGTACCCTTTTTGGGGGTCCCTATAAGAAGGACTATAGTATTTGGGGTCTATATTGGGGTCCCCATATTTTGGGGAACTACCATATATAGGGGTTTGTATATAAGGGCTAAATAGGGGTTAAATAGGGATTATGGAAAAAGAACATGGAAACTACTATTTAAGGTTCAGGGTTTAGGGTTGTAGGGTTTGGGGTTCTAGGGTGGCTTCGAGGGTAGTATTTTGGGGTCCATATCGGGGCCCCCTGTTTATCAGAAAGCCCAGACAGGGATTAAATAAGGATGTATAGGCAATTATGAGGATTACCCTCGCTCACACAAACATGGAACCTTAACAAGAGCATCGACTAGACTACTGTCCTCAAAAAGTGGATGTCTGGGGTGTCATGTTAGTTACCTCAAACTTTAACTCTAAGCCCTAAACCCCAGACCCTAAGCCCTAAAACCTAAGCCCTAAACCCTGGTGGGAGGGTAGGGCATGAAGCCTTATCTGGACCCTGCGGAGCCCACCTTTTTAGGGCTATGTCCTTGGGTATCACTGCATATTGCACCAGACACTAAGTGTTCATTAGGGTCCAAGCGGGTTTTAGGACTTGGGGCTTAGGTTGTACAGGGTGTAGGATTGGCGTCTAGTCAAGGTTTTCTGTTCTACCGCTGTTTGGGGCTTTGGGATTAGGACTGAGCAGCTCAGAATTTAGTGCTTAGAATCTCCTTCTCGAGGGTAGAGTTTGCGGCTTACCTCGACATGTGACAAGCAATCAAGCACAGTCGAAAGCAGATCGGCGGTAACCACACAATGGCTGATGTTCATGGTGTTCCGCTTGGGATCTATATAAGGTCGAAGAGGGGTCATGGAGATTAGGCAAGACACTCGATCACAAAACAAGTTGCAAATTATGCTACGAATCATTCTTCAGGTACATATTGGTACGCAATATGTGTCAAGTCGAAATCCCAGCCTGACAATCAAAACAAATTCCAAGAAGTGTTACACTGTTGAGGGTTTAGGTGTTATACACCCTTTCCTACTTCCCATCACAAGCAACAAGCATAAACGTTTCTTACATGTAGTAGCAAAACTACTTTGAATAAATCCTCATACCTAACATAGGGTGTTTGGCTGTGGCAGAGCGGGTGCTAAGATCTCCAGGTTTAGGGTTTAGGGCTTCGGATTTAGGGTAGGAACCCAGGGTTGCCAAAATCGGGCTTCGGGCTTATCTAAGGTTGGAAAGATGGCCTCCCAGTATGGGCCCTTAACCCTGGGGTCCATAGGTACTTATTATGTGAGCTAGAGTCTAAAAGTCCTTAAAGGGGGTTGTATAGGGGAGAACATCGGACTACTACAGAGGTGAAAAAGGGGAATTTTAAGAGTCTAGACTGTAGCTCCCATGCCCCATAGAACCGCACAAGCCCAATTGAGGTCCATAGCTAGGACTCAGGAGACAGGTAGGGGCCCACGGCCCATGGTTAGGGCCTCATAGCTTCGGGGTTTTCAGGGTTTAGGGCTACAGATGCTGGGGGCATGTGCGAGTTACACAGTAAGCCAACTGTGGCCCGGGCCAAAACCACAAAGGTAGCGAACGAGAGCGATGTCGTCCAGCATATGTGTGTGGTCTTTGGACGCTGCGTTGAGTTCGACTTTCCTTGCAGTTGCGGTTTCGGGGTCTGCAGATCACGAACGCATTCTTGTATAAGGGATGCTTACGGAAGTGTCCTGAGGAGAAGTTGGATCAACATGGGAATGTATGCACCTAAACTCAATTAAAGTCGCAGCTTCGTGCTGAGGATACCACGGTAGCAACCCTACTGCATTCTGGCACAGAGTTGGCCATTTCACTCGGAACAACTGTCGTACCATGGAGAATGCTTTTTTGGGAATGTATTAGACAAGGCATGCATCCAAGTGTATCGACTGTCTACGGTCTCCTACCATACACTCAGCTTAGGGTTTAGAGCGCAGAAACGAGCTCATGACTTTGGAGCTAATTTGAAAACACTTCTGATGACCTCTATGAACACTACATATTTCCTACAAATTTTCCTATAGATTTCCAACGGCCAGCCTTAATCCTAAGCCTTAATCAGACACCCTATGAGCAGCCCGTGGGCCCTTTCTAAGCCGGTAGAGCGCGCACTCTGCACCCTTGCGACCCAATCCTCTAACCCTGAACCTTAGGCCCCAAAACCCCAGACCTAAAACCATACCCTTGACCCAGTGCAATTCCTGTTCCCAACCCTGTGTGGGACGTGGCCTAAGTAAGTGTTCCTAAAATGGGACCCGTATTGTATTAGGAACCCCACTATACTCAATTTAGGGAAATCCCCATACGAGCTTCCATGTCATTTTCCATGTTCTTCCATATCCCTAAACCCTAAGTCCTAATAAACCCTGAACCCTAGGACCCCAAACCCTAAATCCTCAAAAACCCTAAATACCCTAAACCTCATATACCCATAGGGTAGCGCCCTACTGTAAACCTCCCCTGGAGCCCCGACATGAAGCTAGGTCGCAGCTCTGCGAGGTCCGCAGAACGCTCGGCAATCAACTTGGAAAATGGGCAATTCCTGGGTGACCGCTTCTTTTTTACGGGGTTTGGGCTTTATAGGTTATAGGGGTTATACGGGGATAATGAAAAATGGAGGGGAAACTACTAGATCAAGCAAAATGGCAACTAAGGAAGCTCCATGCTTGATGCCGCTTCCACTTCAGCTGCGCTAAACCTCTTTGACAAAAAGCAACCAAGACTCAAGAAGGTCGAGCCCGTCTTTGTGACGGGCTTCGGCAACGCCAAGGAATCAGCTGCCATTGCTTGGACTTCTGTTGACCACCTCTAAGAGCTACGGGGGCTTGTGCCTTGAGCTGAGGTTTCCAAATTTGGCGGTCGTAGGATGCATTGGTTACCACTCTGCAAGAAATACCTGCATCGAAAAGATCCGGGTAAACAGCAGAAAGGGCTGGATGCTATCACTGAGAAATCAGCTGCTGAGGCTTCAGAACCGGGACGTGACTTTGTCAGAAAATGGGAGGTCTCGGAAATCACTCGAAAAATTGAGGGCGTACCTCGCCACCTGCCTTTGGCAGACAGAACAAAACAACAGCAGCAGCTCGGAAAAGCAGCAGGAGGCCATGGAAAAGAAGGCGGTTGCGGATCTAAATTGGGGGTCTCTCAGCATCATGGGTCCCATGTCTGAATCTGTTCACTTTGATATGGTTATTAATGGTCCCTATAGTCCTTAGTAGTGACCTTCCAATACTGAAAACCCTAAACCCTACGTAAACCCTGGCTCTAATTCAGCAACTCCCCAATTCGCTGTGCCTCACGGGACGGTCTCGTGCTGCCAGCGCCAGAAGTGTCCAACACTACAGCCGCATTCATACTTCCAGAATATGAGCTTACAGAACTAAAGGGATTCGGGCCCGGTTTTTGAGGGAGGCCTAGATTAAAGATCAAAGTGTATGTAGGGGTCTCTATTGACCTCCACCTGGCCCTGCTCCGTGAGGAATACTTCTGCTACTGCTATTTCTGAACTTCTACAACTCGACCATTATGTTTGCAACCATGGCTGGCCACCTTTCTTACTAAGTGGGATTATTGTCTCTGGGCAGGCCGATCTTTGCCGGAACTGTATTCGACTCTGGGCCCAGAGGTGAAGTCTGCTCCCTGCTCGGTGGCTCTGGCAGGAAGCTACAACAAATGGGTAGGACAAGCAAAGCATGAAAAAGGCCAACTAAAACCATGCCCGTCATCATCACAAAGAACGTGGTGAACACAGCAGACTGGCTGAAGGCTAAGGGTAGCTGAGAGAGGCCGGTGCTCACGCCCGCGTGTAATACTGCCAGACCACGACCCTGCAGTGCCTGCGTCACTGGTAAGAAACGTAAATCAAATGACTATAAAAAGGAAAACCCACAGATACCCAAAGTATAGGTTACTATCAAAGGGAAACCCCTTTTATACCAAAGTAATGGTAAATTAGTTAAAGTTCCTTTAACAGCAACCCAGATACGGCTTGAGCCCGGGACTTGGAGTCGCCAGGCATGTGCCAGAACGAGTGAGCTATGTGCGCACAGTAGTCCACGCAGAGGCCCACCGAAAGCAGCAGTGGAATTACCGAAAGTGAGTTGAGCTTCAGCCCAGTCAGGACCATCCAACCAAGCATATGCACGCAGCAGGAATACAAAGCCAGCGTCAGGGCGGCCATCATTGGAAAATTGAAGGATAGCATGAAGACTGCCGCCAGCACTGCGATGAGCATAAAAAGCAAGGATGTGGTGGTGTTCTGGATAAGGACAGCATCTTGCTCTCGATATACGTCTGACGGAGAATACACAAACGCAGCCTGGAAGATGCAATCTGAACATGAAAAGGGGAAAATGTGAACACTGAATGATTTTCCCGTCCTCTTAGTCAGCAACTACAGTTGGGGTCCCGGTAAACTGCGCAGGCCTACCTAGCCGTCGCAGTTGCTCTCTGTCACACTCCTGTGCACCCTGCCTTCTGCAGTTGCAAGTTCGCGGCATCCACGGTGGCTCGGAGCGACAGCATCTTCTGGGGCGTATAATTTTTGGCGAGCAGCTGGATGCGAGTTGCAGTCAAAGACTCCGTCCGCCTGGCTTGCTACTGTAATACAAAAGCAGCAAAGAAACCGACGACATAAGGGCAGATCAACCTGCGCGGAGTTTGGCACAAAGCCCAAAGCCCGAACATCCCGACTACCTCTAGCCGCATGTTCAAAAACTTCAGAAGCAAGTTTTCATCAACAGCGGGCCCTACTATATACTGTAACCTTGACACAACGCAATCCGAATAAGGGACCCCAAATCTTTGGTAACCTCCAGACCTTGTAGGTAGAAAGTATATACTTATTTAGATTCAAAAAAGTTGCCATCTAGCTACTTTAAGGCCCCACTACATGCTACCTAGCTACCCAACCCCCAAACCTAAACCCTACACTCTAAACCCTAAACTCTAAACTAAAAAGCCTAAACCCCATACCCTGAACCCTGGACCCTAAACTGGCCCAAAACCCTAAACCCTGAACCCTGAACTCTAAACCCTATACTATATAGCTGCATGGACCCTTTAAAATCCCCAGTCCTCATGAAAGCTCCCTGGATCTCCAATGACTGACCTCGGGGAGAAGTCCTGGGTAGACAAAGCTGAAACTGGGCTTCAGGGGGTATATAGATGGGATTATAAGGTTTTGTAGGGTGTATAGGGGTTTATGGGGTTTTTAGTGTTTAGAGGGTTTGGGGCTTGGGGTTTAGAGTTTGGGGTTTGCAGCTCAGGGTTTAGGGTTTGGTGTATATAGGGACATGAAACATGGGGGATGTATAGGGGTACAAAAGACTGGAACTTCTCTGGGAAAGCCGTCGAGTTCCAAGCTGGAGAAACACCTCCCCGTCTCTCATCCTCCATGAACCTAAGCAGATGCGATCCTGTACTACCCCATGTTACTCATATGAGCCACAGTCTAAACTCCTTAAAAGGGGTTATATAGGGGATTATGTAGGGGAGTACTATAGGGGATATTAAGGGGGCTACCAGGAGTTTAGACTGTAGCTCATATAAGGTGTACTCTCAGTAGGGCTTCTTCGGAGCCTTATGAAGGTCTTGTTTGAGGAGGGGGAGTCAAGCAGGGTGTAATATAGGCCCCCATGATAAGCAGCTCCTGTTTCTGGAGCGCAGCTTCTCCAAATAGGGGCCTCGCCAGCACCCTGACAAAAAGGATCGGTCATTGAGCCCTATACTTGGAACCTTGTTAAGCTGACGCTCAGCACTCGAATGAACTTGCGTACAAAAGGTTGTTGGCGCCCAGGAACGGATTGAGCCAAAGCAGTCCGGAGGCATCAACCACATCCGAGGATGCCAGCAGAGATCTGTACAGCTTCAGCAATCCTCTCTGTGTGGAAGCATCTTCGAGAGATGCAACACCCAATTGCAGCGACGCGTCGACTACATCCTGCAGGGTGTCAGCACGGAATCTTTGGGCATTGCAAGAAACCTACGTAGGCACCATAGCATGCTTCATAGGATCTTAGTTCCTGCACATACCTTTTAAGATCTTATGAGATGAGCTTTTGAAGTCAAAGCCTATGTTGCTCCTGACTCTGACAAGGGGCCCTTAGACTTGTTGGCTACTATAACCCAAGTTCTCATCCCCGCCCAATCCTTCTGTCTCCCTTGGCAATCCCTATTAAAGAAGACTGAGATAAGCAGGCGCCTCGTGCTGCACGAGGACCTCTGGAAACTCCGCCTTCGGTGCAACCGCTTCCCTCAACTCCGAATCATCCTTAACTTGATAATCCTTTGGCGCTAGCTATCCTACAAACTCCAAACTGAGGGGTCAGCCAAAGGTAGTATACGCGGGGCGCTAATAGGTAACCCATGATTTTGAGATTCAGGGCTTCGTAACCCCAGTGCCTAACCCTTAAACCCTGAACCTTAAAGTCTAAAATCCAAGATCTAAACCCGGAACCTCAAAACGAGGCAACCGCTTAACCTGACAATGTATGAATCCGAAATCATAAACTTAAACCATCATAAGGTAATTGGCATTCCAACATTGACGTCTTTCAATGTACGTCCTAGAACGACGGAATCGTTGTGCAAGGACCCCAAAGCGTAAACCTACACCATATTTGTTACTTTCCCAAAGCCCCAAATCGCATCAAATAACCTAAGCACACCACGACATCAAGTACTGTGATTTGATCCATGGTTTGGAAGGAACCCCCCTGACATGAACCCATGTATTTCTTACGTGGTCCTTAGTGTTATGCCTTAAACACAAAAATCCATCAGAGGCCTCCCCCCTCTACTCTTGCAGTGGGTCCATTACTCTCCTTGTCAGGTCCCTTAGAACACCTGTTCAAGCACGTATCAAATGAAAACTTCCCTTAGCTGCACTTTGAGGCAATGCCAAAACCATCCTAACACCTAAGCTGCCCTGAAGCCCATGCCGTAAGCCCACCACCACGAATACCCTAAACCTTAAGCCCTGCCAAATACCCCAGATCCGTAACACCTTTTTGCCCCTTTGAAGGTCCTACCCTGTATTGGCCTGCCCTAATTAAAGTCTAAACCCATAACCCCAACATATGAGCTATAGTCTAAACTCCTAGTATCCCCTTAACCCCTATAATCCTCCCATATAGAATCCCCTATAAAGCTCCCTTGAAGGAGTTTAGACTACAGCTCATTAGGGCCTCTGAAGGAAGCACCGCCAGCTGCTGAAAGTACACCGCAGTCGGTGAGCTGCTTGGGACCAGGTCCTGGGGCTCCAGGCCCACCTGGAATTTAGGGTTTAGGGTTTAGGGGTTTAGGGTTTAGGGCTTAGGAACCTGAAGTAGATACCCATTGGGGTAATATTTGGGTTATATTGGGACTATATTGGGATAAATGGAAAGTAAAAAGGAAACTGCTATTTAGGGTTTAGGGTTTAGGCCCAATTTAAGCCAGTGCCATGCCAGCCAAAGGGACCCGAAGCTGGCCCTAGTTTGAGAAGCTCTAAGCCCCAAAATAGGGACCCATTGGGGTAATATTAGGGTTATATTCGGATTGGAAAATAAAAGCGGAAACTACTATTTAGGGAGGTTTAGGGTTTTAGGCTGAACCTTTAATCCCCAAACCTGAGTTCCCAACCCTGCTCCCCAAAACCTCATCCTTAAACCCTACTTAGGTGGACCCCCCACCCTGTAACAGTGGTGTAATAGGAATATAAGGAGACCCCTAATATAATCACCAGTATCCTTTATAGTCACTATTACTGGGTGGGGGGGTCCACCTTAAACCCTAATAACCCTAAAACCCTAAACCCTAAAACCCTAAAACCTTGAACCCTAAACCCCAAAACCCTAAACCCTAAACCCTAAAACCCTAAAACCCTAAACCCTATGTCTATCTGCTTTTGAACAACAGACTCTGCACCTTCAGGTCGAAAGCCACCACCGTAGAACCAACCTTGCTGGTGGTTTAGGGTTTAGGGTTTCTTGGGTTTAGGGTTCAGGAAAACAAAAAGTACCAATAAAAGGTTCAAGGACCCAACTATTGAGGCTTTTAAAGGGCGAATACTAGAGTTTGCATGGTTTCAGGGCCTGACGCCCCTCAATAGTTGGTCTCTGGGACTCTTAGACTCTTATGGTACTTTATTGTACTGTACTACATTATTTGGGACCCCATAATGAGGATCATAAATTGTTGAAGTTTAACCCTGCATCTTGTGTCCGGGGCGTGGCCTAGTCCATATGCAAATGTCCCAGAGAATCCCAACATACTCCTAAACCCTTTGTTGTTTGCATAAGGTCTCTTATGGGATTTACAGAGCAATTTATATATAGGCCTTAACCCTAGGCCCTAAACCATCTTCATCCATGCTTTCCTGCACTGCTAACCCCAAGTAAGCAACCATCAGCGCCAGCCACAGGACCAGCACTATGGTTCTCAACCTCGGTGCGTCAGACAGTTGGGGGGTTTCCCAAAATTAGAGGTACCTTCATGAGGGTCCCTATAATAAGGAGTAAACTATATTTTTTTACGGTACATATTGGGGTCCTGCTATATGGAAACTACCAATTGCCATTGCTGCTTGGGAGGCCCTATGATAACAAGAACTATGAGGACTGTAGCATATTGGGGTTATGTACCGGTGATGGAAAAGAAAATGGACACCATTCGGGTTATGAAGGGATAATGGAGCACAACATGGAAAGTACTGTAGTAGTTTGGGCCATATCACGACGGGGTCCGCTAATTCGGGAATTACCCATCTGATACTCTTCTGACTTGTTCAGGGTAGTGGTGCCGTTTAGTGGCCCTTTTGTGCTATACAGCCTGTAAAGCATATGTGGCCTAAAATTTGAGTATGCTCAAGTACCGGTCTTATGGTTGCTGGTGGCGGTAATGGTGGCAGTGGTAGTTGGGCTATTACCAGTACTAGCTACACGTGGCCTGCGCGGAATCGCTGTCTCCCCTGCGGGAGCAGGCTACACGAGGCACCCTTACTATCAATGAACTACGCGGACTACGCTACATCCATGACCTATGCAACATTCTATGCACGATGAAATTCATTTTGCCTCAATTATAGATCATCCACACTACGTGGACTGCGCGCTACCTATGGCTACGCGAAACTACGCGAGACTTCGACCTGCAGGCCAAAGGCTACGCGGCCAAAAAGCAACTTCATGCCTGTCGTAGCTATTACATCAAGCAACAAACGCTGCTCAAGTGGACTCCAAGTGACCATAGCGACGAGGTCAGTGACTTGGCCGCGCCCTGCATTACGTCTTCCAAATCAGATCCGCTGCAGTTGTGGAAGGATATCGTCCCCCTTAAGTAGATAAAATATGGGGTATATGGGGATCCTATTATAATATACCCAAAGCCATATTCTATCTACTTAAGAGGGACTATATCAGGAATGAGGCTTCTGAGCTATTTGTAGAAGGCCTGATTGCAAGCTTACATCCCTGAAGATCCCAACTAGAGAACCTTTCTGGAGCTTGTGCAGGGATCACAGAAACTGTCGTGGATCCCTAGGCTGCAGGTTTACGTTTTCTCTTGTGGAATACCAGGGACCCCTACTTTGCCGAAACCAATACATGGTCCCATCTATACAAACGTACCTGATCAAAGGTTGACAATTGAGCCCCCATCTCAACCCCAGTTCGCGCGCACCTGAAAGACACTCCGGCCGGGCGATCTGAGGTCAGAGCAACCTGGGTCGCTGCAGGGAGCGCAATTACTTCAGATCGGACATCTAATTCCTTTAGACCCTTTGACAACTCATAAAAAATGTAAAGCGCATCATGCATTCGCACAGCAACAAGACATTGGGAGAGCTGAGCACGTCGGACCACACCGCCGCCTCCTGCCCGCAACATGTCCACTTCTGAAGGAGCCCTTGCATTGCTTCTAGATGGAGAAAGCCACGGATTCGAGGTTGTTCAAGGAACTTTGCCATAGCATGTGACCTCGTATGGCACATCTATGACCAGCGCCCATTGTTGTGGGCGATGTAGGCAAACTATCTCTAGGTCTAGTCCCCACAATCCCCTTCCACATTCCCAGCTAACTACTTGACCCCCGAAGGCTGACGTGCTCGGCCATTGCTCTCAAACATCGCAAGCCAAAATCGTCGTCTCGAAATTTTGGGTTGCTTTATGGGGCCACCGTTCTACATATCGTGACCCTCGCTTTTCAGACATGGATTTGGTAAGTGCGCGCAGAACTCCAAACCTGTTACACCCAGGGTACTGTGGTAGAGTCCCATTTTATCGGACTAGGTTTTGGGGTATGTCAAATGGGTGTAGGAATAGAAGGGATATAGCGGGGAATGTTGCTCAGAAATTCTTGAGGCGTCTACACTACTGACGACCAAAGCCTGGATATCAGCAGCTGAGAGCAAGTCAAGCAAAGGTCTAGAGGGGGATGAGTCTTTAGGGTTTGGGTTTTTGGGGTTTGGGGTTTGGGGACCCTATAAGAGTCCTCTGACAGGTATAGGGTCCTTAGTCCTTGTCTTGGTGGTTGGGTCACCGAAACACCATGTTTAGCGGGAACACATTAACAACCCGCCTCTCATCCAAAGTCAGCACGGCAATGAAGAATGTAATCCTCAGTTGTACAGTATGATAAGTATGTCCTTTGGTTAGGTTGTTGGTCCATATAGTGGCCTTCCATGTAACACCAAAGAGGGAAAAGGTTGTTGATTGGACATCTACAGTCCCTGATAACCCCTTAATGATGAGGATTGTTCAGCTTTAACAAGGAGAACCCTTTAAAATGAAAAAGGGGCAAAAGGGTACTACTGGAGTACCTACCCTAAACCCTAAACCCTAACCCGAAACCCTAAATCTAAACAGTCAGGAATCTGGAAGATGAAGTCTGCGGCCATGCCCACACTTGTGTATATACAGAACGAGGCCAGCGCCGGCATGGGAGTACCTGCAAGCTGCTAATGTATGCGCCTGAATACTTAGAAAACCTGAAAGGGACCAGGCGGGAGGGGGGCCGGGGGGTGTACCTTATATGACCTATAGTCTAAACTCCTTAAAGGGGGTTATATAGGGATTATATAGGGGACTACTATAGGGCTTATTACGGGGGATACTAGGAGTGTAGACTATGGCACATATAAGGATTATCAGGTGATACAGTTGGTGCTTGCTCCGGCTTCCAACTTGATCTTTCGGCTGTCATCCTCCTACCAAAACCTCCTGCGAAGTCAGGGCTATGCACATGGTAGTTTCCCTAAATAGGGGACCCCAATGCAGAACCCCAAAATACTATAGTCCTTAGTATGGTGACCCCCAAAAAGTATCCCTAATTTTGAGAAACCCTACACCCTAAAAATCCCTATCTATCCCTATATACCCCTATATGATCCCTATAATCCCCCTTTAAAGGTACCCCTGACATGCGGGGCACCGGCTCCCAAAGCAAATGCGATGATGTTGGTGGTAGACGACAGCAGCACGGAGGGGCCCGCCTCACGCTTTGCTACAATCCCCTGTTGTTCCAAAAGCTTGTAGCTTCCATAGTGGGTAATATTGGGATAATGGAAAAGAAAATGGAAACTACTGTAATGGGTCTATATACGTAGGATTATATAGGGGTTTTGTTGGGTATCCCTCGTGCTGCCTTGGACACAGTGTCTGCAATGCGGTCTTCAACACTTCGATCTTGGGGATCTTCCTGCTCTTCCAAAGTCCTCACAATCAGCGCGAAACACGCTTTGAGCTTGCCACCTATCTAGAGTCCTCACGATCAAGAAGGAATCATCCACACCTTAGTGCGGACTCGAACTGCATATCTTGCCTGACTCATTTTTGTTGCTGGAGACGAAGTCTCTTGAAGTAAGGCAGCCGCCCACCCCCATGATCACAAAGAGGGCCTTCAGCGTCTCTCTCTTACGCAGCCAGTGGGCATAGGTTCGGGGTGTGCGTGCTCCTGTTTTCCTGAGGTGAGGGCCTTGGACTTCTCTAACTCGGAGGTGTGCTAGGGGGCCGGGGCGCTGAAACATAGTATAACTTCGCGCACCATCTCTGGCATTACTACGCTTCTGCTGCTGGTGTGGTTCTCACGCGTTCTCATAGTTGACATAACTATTTGCAAGGCACTGCTTTTGAAAAATCACATGGTACCGTGCCAATTTGCAGTGCCCATGCTGCGTTCTGATAATTTCTGAGGTTCCGGCTATGCTCACAGTGGCATTGTAGGTCACCCCAATAGCAGCACAGAGCCCGAAGGCAGTGAGCGTGGCAAGGCCAACGGAAAGCATGGCAGCTGATGCCAGTAGCCCTCGTCCTGAGGGGAGGGGCGGGGTTTAGGGTTTAGGATAAGATTGAGATAATATTGGGATACTATTGGGGTAAGAATTGTAAAGCATTGGGATAATATTGGAATAATGGAAAATAAAATGGAAACTACTAGAGGGTTTAGGGTTTAGGTGGTCGTTTAAGGTCTACAGGTTTCTGGTTGTGACTGCTCTTTCTCCTTAACAGTCTCCCGCTGTAAGAACAAAATCTCTACTCCGTGAAGAGCAAAACTACTTTCAAAAGGGGCCACACAGCAACCCGATAATGATGAATTAGGGCGATTCTGAGGTCATCAGAAGGGCGAGAATAAGGAATCGAAAGGGATTACTCCATCCTCTTGATTTCTATGCTCTACATCGTTTTTGTTAGCCATTCTGCGAGTGCACAACGCTTCGGGCCACATGAATACATAAATGTATTGAGGAAACCAAGAGTTACAGTTAGAGATCTCATTATTTACCTGATGATTGCAACTTGTATGGAGATTTTCTATAAAAGGAACCCCAAGAACTGCCGTCAAAATCAAATCAGAATGATTTGTACATGGGCTGAATTTCCAAGTGAGTTAAAGTGGTAACTAGAGGTGACGCTAGAATTCTCTACAACAAAAAATTCCGCCCTAGCGATGAACCCGCCCAGAAAGGTTTATCATTAATCAAGGGGGACTACGTCCATTGTTGGAGGGAAGGGGCCCTTTTTTTGAGCGTGGACTGAGGGCAATGCCGGATGAACCTCCGAGCAGGGACTTCACTAGTCATCTCGACTGGTGGTACGCAACCGGAGGCACATGCTGGGAACCAGAACTACTACTAAGAAGGTACCACACGAATAAGTTCTGAATACTGCAGATCCCCGAGAAATTCGAATTGAAGACACCGCTGAGAATTGACCCAGAATAGGTGCTGTAGCAAAGGCACGACAGAAGCCCCTTCCCTACACCCTGAACCAAAAACCCTGAACCCTAAACCCCAAGCCTCAATCCTAGACCCTCGACCATGCGAGTTGTGGGCTGCTGTCGTGGCGGACTTGGATTCGGCAAAACCTCTGGGTTCTACCTACACCCTGAAATGCTGTCTCAATCCGAGGCTGCAGCACTCCCAACCTTATGACCCCTGTATTTTAACTCCTGGAGGGCTTAAGTGTTTGGAGTTGATTATGATTACCCCTTACCCCTACCAGAAACCAGGTAACTTCATTTGAGTGGCGTTTTTTGTTTTTCCTTTTTCGGTGGTTGAACGTAGTAAGATAAAATCATATTCCCTATATAAAATACTATACCCCAAAGGAGGATATAATCTTACTCTATATTAGGTACCATAGTATTATTCTCGGACATCAGTCAGTCATTGGATCAAGCGTTTGGGCAGCTTTGGCCCCTCAAATAGTTAGTGAGTAATCTAGAATAGATTAAAGGCGAGCGATAATGGACTGCAATTGCTGAATAACCAGATTGCAGCGGGCAGCTTCATTGTGGAGGATTTCTTTCTCAAGCAGGAGCGCATGTGGACATTTTCGGCAAATTTTGGTGGGACACTGCACGAAGTTAAGTATAGTCGAACAAAACCGGCAGATGGGGATCGTGTCATCCCAACACACCAACGGCAAATGTGGCAGGCCAGCAGGATCATTCGCGCTAAGCTGCTTGTCAAACACGGTTTGGATAGAGATAAAAAATTTGAGCATACAAGTGAATTGTCGTTTGGCGGACTTAGACGGAGAAATTGTTTTTTTGATGTCTTCGGGTGATTTAACAATCCAGAATTCAAGGGGTCGAGCAGCAACGCTGCGCACGACATCTGATATGTCAGGGTCCAGTGCGGAGGCTTCCCATCGAAGAAGGGGTCTTTTGTTGCGCTGCCTACGAACCCATCCCGGTCCTAGGGGATTAGCTGTGAGATGTTGCGGGCGATTCGGCAAAAACTGGAGGAGAAATTCGGGGACCTCTAAAAGATGGTGTTTATACTGTAAATTTTTTCGGATGGCAATCTGTGTCTGTTTCTCAACAAGCTTGGTACAGATTTCCCGAATGTCCCACGGCATGGCCAAGAAAAAATTGGGCGGGAACGGCTTTGCAGGGGGCATACGCAAGCACCAATGCTTGTCTTGATTGTTAGCAAAGTCCAGCTCGGAGAAGGAGCAATCCTCAGGCCAAGCCTGCTCAAGGAGGGCAAGCGAAAGGTTCCTGAATTTCCAGATTACAGTGCCCAGGTTAGGACAGCGGTGCACAAAAGAGGCAATGTGCCCGCCTAGCTGGATGAAGATATAGAATACCTGGGTCCAGTTATGACAGGGCGTGGCGTCTTGAAATGACTTTAATGTCCACTTTGTCCAAAATGAAAAGAGCACCGCATAATCTTTGGCACACGCTCCCCATTTGTGAAAAGCCCAGGTGGAGGTGGGCGGGGACCACTCTAAATTAATCATTTCATTTTTAGGAGGCATATGAACATCACGTTGCACTAGCCTGGCATGCCGTTCCACGAGCGCATGAACCGCATTGTGTTGCTCAGGGTGCGATGCTGCAGCTTCTGCGGCAACATCGATTGAGTGGGATTCTTGAGTAATTGGCTGAACCAAGCTGCTGTTCCTGCGAAAAGCCATCCATGTTTCAAAAAGTTTGGCTACATCTTGTTGAACCTTGTGCCAGTTTTGGAGAATGTGCGGAGGCATGGTTTCACAAGCGACTAAACACTGCTGGGCACAGGGCGGCCAGGTAGCCCAAGTCTTTGTTGCATCACACCAATCTCTGCGAAGGAAATCAAAGCGTGGACACTGGTATGCAATATGCAGAACATCGGCTTCCTGGCAACTGCAAAATCCACACGCGGGAGTGGCAATAATATTTTGCTTAAACAACCTATATGGGGTTGCATGGGCATTCGACAAAAGCCTCATGAGAGCTGTCCTCCCATAATGCTGGGGGTGCATGGATCGAAAAAGCTTAGTTGTGCTTGTGATGTCAGCATGCCGCACACCATCCCAACGAGGATGTTTCTGTTGAAGTCTTTCGAAGAACACTTTTCGAATAGTTTCCCTAAGGAAGTGTTGGAATTGCGCTTTGCTGGAATTCAAAAAGGACATGTGAGTGCGGTCTGCAAGATGCAGCAAATTGAAGTTTTCCAGCTCCAATTCGCAATTCATCCAACTCAGGTCAGCACTTAGAAGGTTAAGCGGCCCCTTGCCTACAGCTTTTCTCCTGGATGGGTTGTTCCAGTGATCCCGCAACCACTGACGGATGTCAGGATAAAGCAGGGCACGGCGCCAACTACACAAATTGGCATAGATCATAATAGCATCAGGATCGTGCAGGTGGGTTTTATGAAGGAAAAGTGCTTGTGCATCTTGTGTGGCAAAATGTCTGTCTGCACAGGCCCTATAAATTGCTCCCCGAAGCTCCACAATTTGGGTTTTTGTAGGCCTTGCAACCATAGCGGCGTATGCGAGTGTAGGGGCAATTTTCAGGCTAACCACCATAGAAGCTTGATGAAAAGGAATCTTAGCTCGAGCAACTTTATTAAGGGCAGCACAGAGCTTGGCAATTATCGGGGCAAAAAACTCTGCTCTTTTAAAATCAAGGAAAGGAAGGGGGATACCAAGGTAAATCACGTTTTCCTGGCACCTGTCAACTTGAGCTCCATCATTCCAAGCAATATCATGGACAGGAATGTTTGTTCCAAATGCGCAGGTTTTGGGGCGCGTGTTGAAACCGTGTGCAAGATCCCACGCTTGTGTAAAGGCAAAAACCCTTTGCAAATTAGCAGGAGAGTCGTGAAGGAGGAGTCTGTCGTCCACGAAAACGTGGTTTACCCTAAGCTGAGCAGGAATATTATTGGCCCACTGTCCTAACGCAGCAGCAGCAGCCACTAGCATTGACATAGGGTCTCCTTGGGGGATACCCCTTCCACATTTGAAATATTGAATGTGAACCGCACCGCTGATAGACGGATATCGTCTCACGCTGCGAATGGCTTGGATCCAAGCTGCAATTGCTTGTGGGGGCATTTGAATGGACGCGAGCGCTTCAGCAGCATGCTCAAACGTGATGGCATCAAAAAAACTTTTCGGTGTCAATGGCGACACCCTGAAGCTGGTGAACGGAACGACCGTTGTGTCTCCAAGTCCACTCGGCCCAGGTTGCAGCTCGGACCCATGCTTGCATTGACTGTCTTCCCTGAATTCCTCCGACTGAAAATTGGGAAACATTTTGCTGGCAAGGACTATTTAAAACCAGAAGAGTTTTGGAAAATATTCTAAGCGCAACTGGAGCTATACAGAGGGGCCTAAGATCACGGACCCTAAGTGAACTGCATTTTTTGGGGATGCAGGAGACTCTGCAGTGCACCCAGGATCGAGGGACCTGGCCAATGCTTAGAACTTTTTGAAAGATGATCGACAAAGCTTTTATTCCTTGGGCATCGACGGCCTTGAACTGGGCAACTGTCAGCCCATCTAAGCCATGCGCTTTGTCAACATTCTGTTTTTGTATAATGTTT